TAGATCAATCATTAACTTCCCGACTCTCTTTCAGATCCATTTCACAACCAACTTTCATATAAAATATACCAAATTGAAGCTGGGAGTGACAAGATTACGATTTTACTTGAATCGAGGCCAAAATGTGGCCGGAAAATGGCTTGGAAGTCTCGGCCTATTTGGGATTCTTCAAATCCATGACAAATTCGAGCATGCAAAGCTAAGATCTCGGTCCAGGGATGGTGATGAATTTTTTGGCGGTGCTAACTTCATCCAATTTAATGAGGGTTGGCCAAAAAAACACATTGGGAAACCTGCAACTCGTCAGGAAAATTGGAGTCGTGAGGTTCCGTTCGAACAACGCATAGCTAGAGAGAGAGGGAGGACAGAGAAATAGAGACTGGAATCAATAAGGAGTTTGACCAGGAATGAGAAAGAGACATGAATTGAGAGATCTGAGAGGAAAAAAAAAAGGGAGAGGGTGGGACGATGAGAGAAGAGGAAAAGAGTGGGACGGAAATGGTAGGAAAAGATGGAGAAAAAGATAAGATCATAATAAAATATTAATAATTTATATATTAAATAAAATAATATTAGAATTTGTTATTATCCAGCTTCTTAGTCCAATACTGCACCAAACGCTTCACTAAGTTAGTCCAGTTTAGTCTAGTCTAAGCCAATCCAGCTTAGTCCTTGAAGCTAATTCAGTCCGAGATAGTCCGGCGCGCAACAAACGTCCCTTAGAGGTTTTGGTAAGGATAAATAGGCGAGTGGCAGGAGAATAAAAAAAAGTGGGGCCAGATTAAATAATCCAATACTTATTTAATAAAAAATACCAAACATCTGTTTTGTCTTATAATTTGTGATGCCAAACATTTTGGGGGTAGTAGAGGCTCGTTTCTTCTTCAGTGCCCAACTCCAAGTCTCAAACTTTCACTCTCCTCCAACAGTATCTACTTGTTCCACACAGTACAATGTTCGTGCCCTGCAAACCCACCAAACACCCGACCCAGATTTCGGGTCTCGCAGCTTAACCAGTGCGGCTCTCAGGCGAGCTCCAATGCCCGCTGACCTCCGTCACGTGCACCCTTCTCTCAAGTACACTATCACACTTTCAACTCCTCCCGAATCTTAATTACAAGTTCTCAAAGCTTCGATTATTTTACTCAGTTTTTGCCATTTGCTAATAACTCCACTTCCAAATCCTTGTGCTCTGTAAACTCCAACGAAAGGCCTAAAGTCACGGTTGGGTTGTCACGGATAATAAAGAACCAACAGGGTTATGCTTTGAAGGGTTTTTCCAGCCGGTTTTGCCGATTATTTCTTGTAAAAGTTATGAAACTATTAGGTTGTAGAGAAACTGCATTTGGGTTTTTCAAATTAGCCTTCAGGGATGATAGTGAGGGAATTGTGAGGAGTTGTTGTATTGCTGCACATTTTTTGGCAGGGTATAATCTGCAGTTTCTAGCTCAGGATGTAGTTTCGTGTGTGATTGCGCGAATTGGGCCAAGTAGGAGTATAGATTTGGTGGGATTTATGTGGCGAGGTCATTGTGAATATGAGTCAGATTTTTCATTTCTTGATACTCTTATGAGAGGTTTCTTGAATGCCGAAATGGGTGCGGAGGCATTGGAGGTTGTGAGTAGGATGAGGGAGGTGGGTTTGAAGCCGAGCTTGTCAGCAATTGTGATTCTTTTGAGGTTGTTGATTAGAATTGGTGATTATGGTAGCGTGTGGAAGGTGTTTAGGGATATGCTTTGGAAGGGGCCTCGCCCATGTAATTATACTTTTAATATGATGATTCTTGGGTTTTGTAGAAAAGGGTTGATTACGGTGGGAGAGAGCTTGTTGCATGTGATGTGGAAATTTCAGTGTGATCCGGATGTTATTACGTATAACATTCTGATCAATGCAAACTGTGAGAGGGGGCAGGCAGACGATGCACTTCATTGGGTGCATTTGATGATTGCAAGGGCCTGTAAGTCAAGCACCGTTACATTTAGTACCGTCATAAATGCCTTGTGTAAGGAGGGGAATATGGTGGAAGCTAGGAAGCTTTTTGATGGGATCCCAGATATGGGTAATTCTCCAAGTACTACTATATATACAATACCATGATGGACGGGTACGTTAAGGCAAGGGACATTGGCCAGGGCAGCATGATCTATGAAGAAATGAGAAACAAAGGGTATCTCCTGATGGCATAACTTTTAATATCTTGATTGCAGGGCATTACAAGTATGGAAGGGAAGAGGTTGGAGACCATTTGTTAAAGGATATATCTGTATCAGGGTTGCTTCCAGATTCTTCATTGTATGACATCATGGTTTCTGGGTTATGTTGGGCAGGTCGGTTGGACAATGCCATTGAATTTTTAGAGGGTACGCTAGGAAAAGGATTACCCCTGAGTGTGGTCGCTTTCAACTTGTTATTGCAGCTTGTAGCAGAGTAGGGTTAGAACAAAAGGCCCATAAGGCCTATAAGTTTATGATTACATTTGGTGTAACTCCTTTATCTTCTACATGTAGTTCTTTGCTTATGGGTTTATCCAAGAAGGGTAACCTGCAAGAAGCCAGAGAGTTTTTGTGTAAGGTGATAGAGAAGGCGTTCCCTATAAAAAAGCTGCTTTCACTGTGCTTTTGGATGGGTACTTTAGAATTGCCGATTTAAATGGGGCTCAAAATTTATGGAATGCGATGGAAAGAAGAGGGATATGTCCTGATGTTGTGGACTATGTAAAGCGGGTCTAGTGGAGGAAGCATATGATATATTTCTGGATACGTCAAGGAGAGGTTTTGTGCCCAACAATTTTGTCTATAATTCTTTGATTGGTGGGTTTTGCAACCGCAGGAAGTTGAGTTATGCACTGAAGTTAGAGAGAGATATGAGGCAAAAGGGTCTTCTTCCGGATATCTTTACCACCAATATGATCATTAATGGGTTCTGTAAACAGGGGAGAATGAAGTCTGCAATTGATACATTTGTGGATATGTACAGAACTGGGTTAACCCCAGATATTGTCACTTACAATACCTTAATTGGTGGTTATTGTAAAGCGTTTGACATGGTTGGAGCAGATGAGTTTTTGTACAAAATGTATGCCAGTGGATGTGAACCTGATATCACAACCTATAATATTTGCGTTCAAGGTTTTTGTAGTAGTCGAAAAATAAATCGAGCTGTGATGATGCTGGATGAGCTTGTTTCAAGAGGTGTTGTTCCAGACTCAGTTACATACAACAGGATGATGAATGGTGCTTATGTTGACATGTTGGATTGTGCTATGATTTTAATGGCTAAATTGCTCAAGTTGGCGTTTCTTCCAAATACTGTTACAATTAATGTGTTATTGTCCCAGTTCTGCAAGCAAGGGGATGCCTGAGAAGGCCTTCATGTGGGGTCAGAAGTTGAGTGAGTTTTCCACTTGCTTTGACGAAATTACATATATATTATTGGACAGAGCTTATCATAATCTGCAAGAAGATTCTGAAATTTCCAGTGGAACAGCTGAAAACAGCCTCTTCCTGGATTTCGTCATGTACATTACGTATGATTATTTATGTAGAAATAAACCTTGCAGAGATGCAAGTTAAAATCCTCTTAAGTTAATTGATTTTAAAGGCTCCTGAAAGTTGATTTAGTTCATCAGTTTTCACTACAATGATTATGATCTATGACATTCTGATGTTATCATGATTATACCCTTCTGGTCTCATGTTTGATGCCTCTTGTGGCAACAAGATTGAAGTAGCAACAATCAGAAAGAACCAAAAAGCTGCTGGCTTGATGGTTTCAAGGGAGACTGATCACTCAAAGGGAAGAGATAGGCGAGCAAATGAAAACAGTCAAGACAAAGGAGATGGAAGGGAAAGTGGGCTGAGGTTATGCGAAAATAGTCATGCCTTCCAGTTATGCCGTCAACTGCAAATGTTGGATAAATGCCGTGCATGAATTTATGAAAAGGGGTCATAATGTGCTGGGCACATTAGGTGAGGTATTGAAGTTAATAAAAGAGCAATGCCAACTTTTAGATATAATGTGGCAACTGATGTTAACTGTGTTTTAATTTTATGGTGCAGCTGAACAAGTGTATAGGTTGAAAACCCAAAATAGATGGCAAAGCAAAATGAAAGCTCCAACCGGTGGACCCAGGATTGTATTCATGCACGTACGCATAAAAAAATTTATTTTGAGGGAAATCACGGTTTCTTGGCTGACAAGGACCCTTTTTGTAAGTATTCTCTTCAAATTTGACTTCGAATATTCAGATTATAATCTAAAATCCGAGGTCATAAACCTGGATTGGTAACCTATTGTAATCGAAAATTTATAACGGTTTGCCATTTGGGTAATTATCAATGTGTATGCTGAATAATGAAAGGCAAGGTTTTAGACTAGTAGGCAAAGTATACATGGGTTAATAGGATGGAAGGCAAGGTTTGGAAGTGGGGGCATTTTATATGTTAATAAGGCAATTCAAGGGTTAATTTGTTTCTACCGATAAAGTTTAGTTGCATGACTTATTTTATTTGTGTGGGCAGGTGCACCTTCTAGGACCTATGTAGGATGCCCAGCGAACCACACTCCAAGTGAATTTGCTATGCAGATTCGAGAGTAAGCGCTGAAGAACAAGGTCGATGTCTAGTAGGTTTCCATTTGCAGCTTGAAGGGCTGCATAGTCTCCGAATTGTCATGGCACTATGCAAGGCACACCGCATGATGTACATGAGCCAACTCTTTAGTCAAGGCCTTGCATCTTTGAGTGAGTGTTGCTGAGAGGGAGCATCAGAAGGTTTTGGTTCTGGTCGCTGCAGTTTTTCATATGATGCATTGGGCTTCCTTTTCGGAATTCTTGTAATTTCTATGGGAATGAGTTATGGGCGATTCTTGTCGAAGATTTAACTTCCGTGACGTTATGAATGATTTTACAAGATTGTGTGGTGACAATACTACCATGAATGAGTGCTTTTGGGGGATTTTGGTTATATTTCTGTTCATCTGGAAACAGGGCAAAAAAGGAAGAAAAGAAACGGCCTTATCTTATTCTCATTAAATCACCTATATGATGTAAAAGGCTGATTCTCACATAACCAATCTTAGAATTCTCTGATGGCTTTAACAACTTTACAAAAATAACCATCCAAATCCTACTCGATAAAAAGTTCTATTGATCTCCAAAACGACCCGAAAACAAGTTACAACTATACAGGATGAATTAGCGATCAAATCACCTTTGCCCTCTGCATAATCATGAATCTTCTTCTACTAGCGCTCTCCACATGCTCGCCTAGTTTGGCCAGGTGAGCCATTCGTCTCTTCCATGACTCCGAGGCCTCGAATTCTCCCGGCTTTGTTACTGAGTCGTCTTGGTCATTCTCAACGGATTCAGGACTTCTCTCCGATGGGATTCCCTCTTCGGAGTCTTGAATAATCCCCTTTAATTTGTCTACTACCTGACTCATTGTTGGTCGATCTTTTGCCCTCTTTGACAGACAACTCTCGGCCAACTTAGCAATCTTTCTTGCTGCAGTGATCGAATACTTGTTTTCCAGCCGGCTATCCATTATCAAGCCAAACTTTTTACCGTCGGGAGGGAACTGTTTCACCCATTCCAAAAGGTTCTGTTCTGTTCTTGGTCGGCTTCTTTCCAATGACCGTCTGCCTGTAAGAATCTCGTACAGCACCACACCGAAACTCCATACATCGCTTTTAGTTGTGAGATGGCCTGTCTCGACGTAATCTGGAGCAGCGTACCCGTTAGTTCCCATTACCTGATCATGAGAAAAATTCTTCAGCATTTTTCGAAGCAGAGTTTGCATAGGTAGGTTCCTATCCAAGCTACAAATGCTAGTGAGAAATAAGTGAATGCAATACTTACTGCAGTTGAAACATGAGTATGGCCAACCATTGGCCCCTCCCTAGCAAGCCCGAAGTCTGAAAGCTTCGGTTTAAAATTCTCATCCAGCAACACATTCGCGCATTTGAAATCTCGATAGATTACCTTCGTCAACAGCATAAGAAAAAAATCAGAATAACCAAGATTAAGACTAAGCTTGAATAATGAAAACAACATGAAATAGAACATGTCTTGCAGAAAACAAAACTAATGGAACAGTTCCCGCAGGGAAGGGCGGGCGGAGCCATGAAGGGACCATAATGGTCTCGGGCCTATCTGATATTTTTTTCACATAGAAAAAACTAGAGTTATCCCTTTGATTTCCAAATCTTTTTTACGGTATTAGAGCCCCAATCAGAATCTTTTCTTTTTCTTCTTCGCTGGGTTCAATTTGAGGCTGGCGGTTCTTATGCAATTATTGGACGTCACTGTGAGTTTTGAGGGAGAGAGAAGAGGGAGAGAGAAGAAGTAGGCTAGAGATCTTATTTTTATTTTTGCTTCATTTTTTATTGTATTTCTTAAAGTCTTTTAATACTATTACTTTTGTTTTATCTTTTTTCTTATTTTTCTATTCCCCTCCTCCTTCCTTCCTCCCTCCTTCCGAATAAAGGGGCATATATTTTGAATCTGAGTCATTATAGGCATGGGGGTTGAGTTGAGGAAGAGGATAACAACACCGACATCATACCAAACTTAAATGATAGTGGTTTGTAGTTAGCTAGGGTACGTCAGATCCATAATTTTCTTATATCTTAAGAGCATTTTAGAGCCAGACTTTTGGCTCCGCCACTAGGCCGAGATTAAGGCATGAAAAAACGATGTGGAAGACTGGTGAATGTAAAATTTCAGGGTTGACCTTATGCAAAGAAAGAAACTACATTCTCAAATTTGGATAACCGCCCCACCCCAGAACCAGAAGCGAACGTAGATCGTATGAAGGATAAAGTATGTAATCTGAAATAAGCAGATAAATACATATTTGAAATATGCCAGATGCAACAAGCTCTAGGTCAGGGAGTTAAAACAACCAACTTTACGAATCAAGTATATAAGTTGATTTGTACGTAGAAACCGATTTCCAATATCGAAGTTTAGAGCTAACCTGAACTTCCAATCCTTCGTGCAGATACACCAATCCTTGAGCAGCTCCAAGTATTATCTGTAACCTTGTCTCCCAAGGTACAGTTGGGTACGCCTTGTTGAATAGATGATCATCTAAACTTCTGTTCGCCATGAATTCATAGACGAGCAGTCGTTGAATCCCTCTTTCTCCATCAACAGCACAGTATCCGATTAGTTTGACAAGATTCGGGTGCTCCACAACACTCAGAAATTGAACTTCTGCCACCCATTGCTTGTGACCCTGTACGAAAGAACAGAGAATTATAAGAAATGGTATTCGTAACCAGAAAAAGAATGTAAAGTGAGAGACTGAACAGAAATGTAATGAGAGGATGCCGGAAGACTCAGAACTCGATTAACAATAATCGCGACAGCGGTTTAAATAATTTTTGATTAAATATTAAGGAAAATCAGTCTACCAAAAGTATCTTAATCACAATAGCGCATTAAGTAATAGTAAGATGCTTAAACTCCCATACCTGTAAGCCATCATTGTTAAGCTTTTTAATGGCGACAAAGATTGGATCGTGGTCCTTGGCATCAGCAGGCTTAATTGAACCTTTGTATACATTCCCAAATCCGCCTTCTCCGATCTTAAGCAGCCTACTGAAGTCATTTGTTGCCTGCCTGAGCTCCACGAAAGTGAACACCCGCAAGTTATGAGCCTTCTCTTCAAACATTTCTGGTATACCACGGGGTGAATTCGCGGAGCAGGAAGACTTAATGACCCTATCGCCGGGACCTGAGTACTCCGAGTTTCTCTGTTCTTTCAGTTCTGGTGCTGATCGTTGTTCCCTGCTCCTAGCTTTGTCCTTGAAGTAGTAGAAGCACTTCATTGTATAGAATCCGTCACCTGAATACAACGATTTTTCATGGAAATGCTAAAACAGTAGAACACAAAACCAAGAAAATCATGGAGAAAAATGTTTACTTAAAAAAAAAAATTTAACAAGAACCATACTAGAGAAACGAAACGCAGTAATTCAATGAAAACAGAGTAATATGCAAGATAAGAAAAACCCCAAGGAAAAAAGAGATGAAATCACAAATGGTTGGAAGATTAAAGAGAAGATCAAAAGAGTGAAAACCCAGATGGGAAATCAGAGCGGAAGTACAAATTAACTTGGAGAGAAGGCAACTGACAAAAATTGTATCAGAAATCCTAACTCAGATGAGCAAAAACAAAAGAAAGAACCACGAATGAATGAACGAACCAGATATTAAACCCTAAATCTTAAAAAAATAGATACCTCTATCAATTATTTCTGCATATAATTTGAACAGGGTTGGGAGGTTCAGGTTGGAGAGACCTGCACGGATTTCTTTCCCTGCTTGGCTTTTTTTTTTTTTTTTTCCCTATGTGAATAATAAAGTAGGTGGTTAGCTTTAGCCGTAAAGGTTAGACAATATAAGGAGAACAGAGTTCAAGGTTGGATTAAAAAAAAGGAGAATTCATCAACTATTCAAGTTGACACTAATAGTAATATAATATAATATAATATTTTTTTTTTTGGTAATCATAATATAAAATAATATATGAAACGGAATTGGATTCCCTCTGGATCCAAATGAACTGAACCACTCATCAAATGATCTAGGTCATTGAAATTTAATCAAACGACTACAAACAGGGACTCTCTAAAAGTTATAATAATTGTAACCGTTGGATCAAATTTCAATGGTCAGGATCTTTTGATGATTAGGCTTAGTTCATTTGGGTCCGGAGGGGATCCGGTTCCATATGAAACAAGAGAAAGGGTCCCTATATTTTTATAAAGAGGTATTTATCAATTTCCCTCCTAAACTTGTGACCATTAGCCAATTTCCCCCATCAACTTTAATTTTGGCCAATTTGTCACCTTAACTCTCATAATTAGTCAATTTCCCTCCTCAACTTTAATTTAGCCAATTTTCCCCCTCAACTCTCATAATTAGTCAATTTACACCCTACTGTGAATATTTTAATTTGATCATAATTAAACAAGTGTGTGTAAGAAACTAAATAAGATGTATGTTAATCATGTTCCTATATCTTTATCCTATTACAAATGGATTAAAATTTAGAATTTTACAATTTATCATAAATAGTATTATTAGTCATAATAAATCAGTATGGAGTAATTTTATTTGATTTTTGACTATACAAAATTGATAACGAAAAGGATTGATGTGTAAATTTTTGTATGTGAATACAATTTTCTTTATAAAACTGAAAGCTAAGTTCAAGTAAATTGCGAAGAATCGAGCTTTAGTGAAAAAATGGCTGGTCTATTCATAATTTTCGACTCCTTATTAAGAATAACCCATTTTATTGAAATAGGTTTGATCCATGAGTTTAGGATTATTATTTCTTTTTGTTATTATTTCTTCTTCTACATGCTTTAAACCCGATTCATAACTTTTTCTTATAATCAACCCATATCACATACTAATTGTATTATGTTTTTGTACATTTTACCCTATATTATGCAGGTGAGTTTATATTAATTTTAGTACTTTGTTGGAAGTTATTAGAAAGATTGAAAATTAAAAAAAAAAGAATATATGGAAAAAAAAAATAAAAATAAAATAACAATAGGGTGCAAATTGACAAATTATGAGAGTTGGGGGGGGGGGGGAATTGGCCAAATTAAAGTTGAGGGGGGAAATTGACTAATTATGAGAGTTGAGGGGGAAATTGGCCAATGCTCACAAGTTCAGGGGGGAAATTGAAGAATACCTCTTTTTTAAAAGTGGGAATTAGTAGTGGGGTCCATACCACATTAAATTTTAACGATCTGAATAGTTTATTTTTTAAGTTGCACCTCATAGACCATTCTGGTAGAATATTAGCCAAATTGGAAACATATGACATCTAAGTAAGTTCAAAGAAATTAATGACTACTTTGTTATATAAAAAACAATGAAATTTTATCTTGATCATTAAATAGGCAAATAGTTTCGGATTGAATTAAATTTTTGCAAAGATGATCTATGAATCAAGACTCAAAAAATACTTAGTTCGGATTGTTGAAGTTTGATGTGGAGTGGGCCTCACACCTAATCCCCATTTTTCTAAAAAAAATGGGAATGTCTTTGCATAAAGGGTATGTGTATGTGTCTACACACACACACACACACACACACACACATACATACATATATATATATATATATATATATATATATATATATATGTAGTTCTTGAAACTCACATATCTCTCACACGGGTTGACATGAAATTAAACCTAGGAGCATTTTTACTAACAACCATAACTATTATGCATGCTCTTTACACACCTAATTATTTGTCATGTGTCATATCATTTGACTTTTGTTAACTTTCATACTAAATGTTACTTTTTCAATTTAAAAAAAAAAAAAACTAACCAATGTTAAGTTCAAGAACTTGTCACAGATGATTAAATGTACTAAGCATACACTAAAATTTATATTAGTGAGCAATAATGCTCCATGTCCAAATATGTACCCTATAGTCAAAACTAGAAGATGATGAATTTCACCATAGAATTATTAAATTGGTCAACCTTCCGAGGAAATTGTTTCAAGAAGAGAAATTATATTTACACAACCCAAATTACTTATCAGATACTCTTTTAATTTTTAATATTTTTTACACACCACTAACACTTGATAGAAAAATATTAAAAAATTAAAAAGATGTGGGAGAAATAATTTGGGGTGTGTGAATATAATATCCCTTTCAAGAAATATCTTTGTTCTTCCCCTTTTTTTCCTTAGTTTTGGAAAAGGGTAATGGCCATGGGGAGATACAAAAGCATGGAGATTTCTAAAGTTTTATGACTAATAATCTATTATATATAACGAAAATGGAAAAGGTGAATAGTATTTTGGTGTCACCATGCTTCAACAAAAATATTTGGACAAAAATGCCCCCAAGACAAAAAACTTCAAAGGCATTCCAAAATAATGCATCAAATAAGGCAAGTGTATTTTTAGTCATTTTAACAGTATTTTTTTAATAATTAATTGTTTTTTAATGGTTTGTTTGTTTGTTTTTTTAATTAGTATTTCACAATAGGTTAGCAATAATGTGATTCAATTTCTCTATATTTAAACACGTTTAGATTGTTTTTTATTATTTATTTTTATTTTTAACAAACGATATTATCTATACTAAGGGGGAGGGGGGAGGAGGTTGGGCTTAGCCTCACAATGGGCTAGCAATAATGTGATTTAATCAGTTGTTTATTAAATATTATTTTCTCTATTTTAAACACATTCAAAACATCTTAAGATGTTTGTAATGCCGGTTATAAAAAAAGTCTTTCGCACACAGATAATAATGTAATTAAACTAGTTGTCAAATTTATTTTTATTTTTTTAACAAATGATATTATCTACACTAAGGGAGAGGGGATGGGCTTTGCCTTACAATGAGCTAGCAATAATGTGATTCAATCAGTTGTTTATCAAATATTATTTTCTCTATTTTTAAACACGTTCAAAATATCTTAAGAGGCGTGTAATGCCGGTTATAAAAAAGGTATTTTGTACGCGGATAATAATGTGAATAAATTAGTTGTCAAATGATTTTTTTTTAACAGATGATATTATCTACACTAAGAGGGAGGGGGTGAAATTAGCGTCATAATGGGATAACAATAATGTGATTCAATCAATTGTTTATTAAATATTATTTTCTCTATTCTTAATGTAAATTCTATAGAGACTGATTTTATTATGTGAATTTAGCTGTTTTAGTTGGTGTATGGCAGGTTTCTTCTAGCATAATCTAAGATTATTTATTACTTTAAATATTAGACTTTCCTTTTGTCAATTTACGCATATAAATAAATTTAAAACGTGTAAGTCGCACGTAGCACGCTGTGATTCAAAAAATACCTTCTACATGCTAATTATATATTAAACCAATGGAAAAGTGAATAGTGTTTTTGGTGTCACCAAGTTTCAACAAAATATTTGGACAAAAATGCCGCCAAGACCAAAAACTTCAAAAGCATCCCAAAATAATGCATCAAATAAGGTAGGGGCATTTTAATCATTTTAACAATATTTTTTTTGTTCTTTAAAAAAAAAAAAAATTTAGTAACTCACAATAGGCTAGCAATAATGTGATTCAATTTCTCTATTTTTAAACACATTCAAAACATCTTAAGATGTGTCTAATGCAGATTATAAAAAAAGTATTTCGCACGCAGATAATAATGTGATTAAATTAGTTGTCAAATGATTGTTTTTTTATATCTATACTAAGGGAGAGGGGGGGTGGGTTTAGCCTCACAATGGGCTAGCAATAATGTTATTCAATCAGTTGTTTATTAAATATTATTTTATCTATTTTTAAACACGTTTAAAACATTTTAAGAGGTGTGTAATGCTGGTTATAAAAAAAGTCTTTTGCACGTGAATAATAATGTGATTAAATTAGTTGTCAAATGATTGTTTTTTTTAACAAACGATATTTATCTACATTAAGGCCCGGGGGGGGGGTGAGCTTAGCATCACAATGGGCTAGCAATAATGTGATTCAATCAATTGCTTATTAAATGTTATTTTCTCTATTCTTAATGTAAATTCTATAGAGATCGATTTGATTACGTGAATTCAGCTGCTTTAATTAGTTTATGAGGGGTTTCTTCTAGCATGATCTAAGATTATTCATTTACTTCAAATATTTGACTAAATAAATTTAAAATGTGTAAGTCACGCGTAACATAGTGATTCAAAATGTCACATCTCGGCCCGAGGTCCACCACATCCCAATCCCGCTCCACTACCGTAGCACGATATTGTCCGCTTTGGGCCCTGACTACGCCCTCACGTTTTTGTTTATGGGCCTCGTGTCGGCTAGCACAACTTGATTCGAAGTCCTAGGGGACAATCTGGGTCGGGACGTGTCACAAAAAATGCCTTTTGCACTCTCTTGAGCGCATGTATGAAGGTTGTTTATATATAAAGCCAGAGCCGTTTTTGGGGTAGCGGCTTCACCAAAATAGTTTTAAACCAAAATGCCTTCAAAACAAAAAGTTAAAAAATAGTTCAATATAATGCACTAAATAATGCAGATGTATTTTTGTCATAAACAGTGTTTTTTAATAATTAATTTTTTTTGTACAGTTTTTTAGTTATTTAATTAGTATCTCATAATAGGTGTGACATCCCACATCGCCCAGGGGTGATCCTTATATGTATATTCCCATCCCTACCTAGCACGAGGCCTTTT